TTCATCATCGTTGTCGTCGTAGTCGTCATTGTTGTCATCATCATCATCATTATTATTTTGAGACAGTTTCTCTGTGTAGCCCTGGAACTTGCTTTGTAGACCAGGCTGGTCTGGAGTTTACAGAGATCCATCTGCTTCTGCATCTCAAATGTGCAGTATGCATGTGGAATTCAGAAGCTAACTTTCAGTCTTTGCACCTTCTGCTGGGTTTCAGGGATTGAACTTGGGTTGTCAGACTTGGATGTGCAAAAAAACCTGTTGAGCCATCTTGCTAGTCCTTCTCTTTAAAACTCAGAACAAATTGTGGTTACATTAAAGAATGGAAGGAAGATCCCATGTTTGAAGCATCACAATTTTATTAAAGTTGGGAAAAGAGACAATGGATTTTTCTTCTTTTATAGCATGTTTGCTAAAAAAGCTGGTGCACATTCAGTATATGCCTGTGAATTATCCAAGACCATGTATGAACTTGCCTGTGACGTAGTGGCTGCAAACAAGATGGAAAATGGGATAAAGCTCCTACATATGAAGTCACTTGATATAGAAATTCCAAAACACATTCCTGAAAGGTGTGTTTATAATTCACTAAAAACTTTATGATACATTTCCAGCTTATGTTGACAAAAGTGCTAACGATGCTTGTTTTCTGAAGATATGATTATCACCTAGCTTAATAAAATACAGAGTTTTATAATAACATGCTTTAAAAAGTACTTCAGAACTCAAGAAAAATTCACAGTGAGAAACACTTCTTTAGCATGTCTTTTTGTATGTTTTGTTTTTTTGAGACAGGGTTTCTCTGTGTAATCCTGGCTGTCCTGGAACTCACTTTGTAGACCAGACTGGCCTCCTACTCAGACATCTGCCTGCCTCTGCCTCCCAAGTGCTGGGATTAAAAGTGTGCACCACCACAGGAGGCTAAACTCATGTGGTTTTGTTCATTGAAGTAGACAGACTTCCTGTAGGTCAGCATGCTGGATAACTGTTTCCAATGTGAGCAGGTCACAGTCTGCAGACATGCTAGGTAACTGTCTACACTGTGAGCAGGTCACACTCGGCAGACATGCTAGTAACTGTCTACACTGTGAGCAGGTCACACTTAGCAGAAAGTATCATGTTGTCATTACTGGCCTTGACCAGAATGAAGGTTGGAAGAGACCAGCAGATGGGTGCTTTGGCTTGTGTCCTTTGAGGACTGTATGTACCGTCTTAGAAGCACTGTGTTTGTATTTGCATTTCACTATGGTCAGGATCTCTGTGAAATCGAGGCCAACCTGGTCTACAGAGTGAGCTCTAGGACAGCCAGGGCTACACAGAAAAACTCTGTCTCAAAAAAAAAAAAAATAAAATAAAAAAATAAAAAACAGGAGAAAAAAAGAGAATTAACTTTGAGAAAGAAGGCTGGGCGGTGGTGGCGCACGCCTTTAATCCCAGCACTTGGGAGGCAGAGGCAGGCGGATTTCTGAGTTCGAGAGTTCGAGGCCAGCCTGGTCTACAGAGTGAGTTCCAGGACAGCCAGGGCTACACAGAGAAACCCTGTCTCGAAAAACCAAAAAAAAAAAAAAAAAACCAACTTTGAGAAAGAAGGGTCATTGACAGTAGAGAGTCTGCAGGTGTGTTTCCTGCCTGGTTTGATTTGTTTTTTAATGCAAGGTTTCAGTGCTACCTTTAACTTCTGCCTGATCATCTTGCCTCCATGTGCCAAGTTCTGGGATTACAGACATAAACCGCCATTCCAGGCTAGGAGAAAAACACTTACATTGTGTTAGAGGTGAAGCCAAACGTTTAATGTTCAGACAGGGACCAAGGAAGACGTGAGTGCCAAGTACTCTTAAGGACTTAGGCTCTGAACAAAGTCCGGGAGTGCAGCTCTTCTGTCCTAGAGCAAGGGAGAGAGCTGTCCAAGGGACATCTCAGGAGTCAGGGGAGGATAAGAAAATGAAATGTGTTCAACAGTTGTAAAGATTTTCTATAACATATCTGCCTTTTCTCTCAGCTTTGACAGCTTTAGAGAAATAGCATATCAGTTTACTTACATGTGTCTTTAAAACATCATTCTATAGAGTGTCCCTAGTTGTAACAGAAACTGTCGATGCAGGTGTATTTGGAGAAGGAATTGTTGAGAGTTTAATTCATGCATGGGAGAATTTACTTCTTCAACCAAAGGTAAGCAGCATCAAATCACTTATATTTGATTAAAAATTCATTATTTTAAGATGCATATTGAGCTCCTAGAATGTTTGCAAGACATAAAGAATATGTCAGAGTACAACTGTATACATGGAAAGAAACACAAGAAAAAGCATTTGGCAACAATGTAATACAATGTGTATTGAATGTACCAATAATGTTACAGATAAGAAATCTACTGGAAGGAAGTCCTGTGAATGAGCTTATTTGTGGAGGGACTCACTAAAATTCTTGAGTAGAAGAGGGAAGAACTTTGAATCTCACAGCTGTCTGTGCCTGGAATTTTGGCAGATCTCTAGAAAAGAAGGTAGTAATATTAGTTCAGTACTGTTTTAAAGTACTGAGTAGCCGGGCGGTGGTGGCGCACGCCTTTAATCCCAGCACTTGG